AAATAGGAAATAGGGGAAAAAATCAACAAAACTAAGAGTTTTAATTTTTGGTACTGGGAATTGAACCCAGGGGCACTTTACCCCACTGAGCTACATCTCCCATCCCTTTTTATGTTTTTATTTTGAGATCAGGTCTTGTGTAAGTTGCTTAGGGCCTCACTAAGTTGCTGAAGCTGGCCTCAAAATTGGGATCCTCCTGTCTCAGCCTCCTGAGCAGCTGGGATTACAGGCATGTGTCACTGTGCCTGGCTTAAGAGTTAGTGTTTTTTTAAAAAGATAATAAAAATTGGGAAATCTTTACCTGGACCAAGGACTAGATATTACAACTGATTTCTGCCACATAAATGGGAATTTTGAGAAACTAGTATGAGCAGTTATATGCAGAAAAAAAAATTTAACCCAGAAGACAAGGATCAATTCCTAGAAACATACAGCCCACCAAGATCAAATCATGAAGAAATGCAAAATCTAAACAGAGTCATAACTAGTAAGAGGATTGAATCAAATATATTTAAAAAAATCTTCTGATAGAGAAAAGCCCAGGAGCATATGTTTTCAGTGAAGAAATCTATCAAACATTTAAAGAAGCAAAGTTTTTTCTTCTAAAAATACTGAAAAAGATGGAACAGATTCATTGTATGAAGTCAACATTACCTGATACCACAGCCAAAGACACTATATAGAACACTATAGACCATTATCCCTGATTAATATAGATGTAAACTTACCCCACAAAATACTAGCAAACCATGTTTAAGAGGATGTTAAAAGGATCAGACACTATGAGCAAGTGGGATTTATCCCTGGGATGCACGGATGGTTCAATATTTGAACATCCATCAATGTATTACATCCCATTAACAGAACAAAAGATTAAAAAAATCATACGATCATCTAAATAGATTCAGAAAAAAACCCTTGACAGACTCAAAGACCACTTCATAATAAAAAAATCACTCATCAATCTAGGAGTAGAAGAAAAATTATCTCAGCATAATAAAGCCCATGTATTAAAAACTCAAAGCTGACATTGTACTCATTGCTGAAAACATTTTCAGTGAGATCAAAAATAACATAAGGTGCCCACTCTCACCACCTCTATTGAACATAATACTGGAAAACCTAGCTAATGCTGTTAGACCAAAAAATTAAATAAAAGACAACCAAAGTGAAAAAGAAGAAATAAAATATCTCTTTATACAGATGACATGATCATATGTGTAGAAATCTTTAAGGATAAAAAAAACCCTGAGAACTAATAAATTTAGACTTGCAATCTTCAAAATCAATGTATAAAAATTAGTTGTTTTTGTACACCAAAAAACGAACAACCCCCCAAAGTACATTCCATTTAAAATAGCATCAAGAAGAATAAAATACTTGGCAATAAACTTAAGAAGGTGAAAGACTCATACACTGAAAGCTACAAGACATTGTTGCAAGAAATTGAGGGAGACACAAATAAATGGAAAGACGATGTCTCATGTTATGGATTGGAAGCCTTAAATGTAGTCCAAACATCCAAATTCCTCAAGGGATCTACAGATTCAATGCACTTCCTCTCAAAATCCCAGTGGGAGTTGTTCAGAAATAGAAAAAGAAAAAGAAAAAAAAAAAAAAACAAAGTCCTACAGTTCATCCGGAACCAAAGAATACTCCAAACAGCAGAAACAACCTCAAAAAAGAACAAACATGGATGATTTAGTCATATTTCTTGACTAAAAAATGTATTATAAAGCTAGAGTAATCAAAATAGTAATGACATTGCATAAAGGCAGACATTATAGACAAACAGAAAACAATAGAGAACCAAGAAATAAACCCTTGCATGTGTGCTCACATGGTTTTTGACAAAAGTGCTAAAACAATGGGAAGAAGATAATTTGCAAAAGAATGAAATTAGACACAACATGCACAAAAAGCAACTCAATAGATTAAAAACCTAAACTAAAAACTCCTAGAAGAAAACATAAAGGAAAACTTTCACAAAATTGATCTTGAAAATTATTTCCTGGTATAACACCAAAAGCACAGGCAAGAAAAACCAAAAATAGACAAGTGGGACAACTTCAAATGAAGGAGGTGTACAGTAGAGGAAACAATTAACAGAGTGAAAAGGCAGCCTACAAACTGGGAGGAAGTATTTGCAAGCTGTATATCTGATAATGGATTAATGTCCAATTATGGGAAGGACTCCTAAAATTCCATTTAAAAACAATTAAAATGGGCTCAAGAAACCTCTGTGACCTAATTACAATCTTGTCATAAATTGAATTCCTGTGCCTGCCTCCTGGATGTTGATGTGTATGCCATGGTTGTATCAATCACTGTCTTGGACACTTAAGCATACATCTAGTTAATTTCTCAAATTGAGTAGACATTTCTTCAAAGAATACATACAGATAGACATTAGGTATATGAAAAGATGCCCAACATCACTAATCATCAGGGGAAATGCATTGCAACGCCACAGTGAGATAGCTTCCCATACCTAATAGCATGGTGCTTACAAAAAAAATAAATAAATAACCAGAAAATATAAAGTTTTGATGAGGATGTGGAGAAATTGGAGATCCTTGTGGATAGTCAATGGGAATATAAAATGGTGTTGCTGCTACTGGACACAGTATGGAGTTTCCTTAAGAATTTTTAAATGAAACTACCATATGATTCTTCAGTCCCTCTCCTGATTATTTTAAAGAACTGGAATCAGAATCTTAAAGACATTTGTATTTCCATGTTCACTGTAGCATTAAACACAGTAACAAGATTTGAAAAAAATAAAACTAAAGTGAAATGCCTATCAAGGGGTAAATGGATAAAGAAAATGTGGTGTATACATGCAATAAAATATTATCCAACCATGAAAAAAGGAAATCTGTCATTTACAACAATGAGAGTCAACCTTCGGTACATTATGCCAAGTGAGAATAATCTAATCACAGATGGATAAATAATTCATGATGACATTATATGAGATAGTTATAGTAGTTAAACTTATAGAAATAGAAAATAGAATGGTGGTTGCCAAGGGCTGGAGGAAGGGAAAATTGGGAAGTTGCTCTTCAATAGATATAGTTTCAGACTTGCAAGGTGAAAAAATTCCAGAGTTCTAATGAACATTTGCTTATATTTCCCGTGTCTGTCTTCTGGGCATTGATGTGTATGCCATTGTTGTATCAGTCACTGTCCTGGACACTTAAGCACACATCTAGTCAATTTCCCAAAGCCTATCTTCTTTTGAATTTGCTATCTTGGTAGTTTAGGCAATTAATTTATTTGTGATTTGATAGACAATAGCAGTTTCACCACAGTGAATTTCAGAATTTCCAAGCTACATACTTGTTGARGGCAGTGTCTTAATCTATCTCACTCACCTCTGCATCCCCAGAGTCCTAAATAGTCCCAGAAGCACAACATATACACAGCAAATATTTTTTAAATGAATGAATACATGGCTCAATATTTATAACCTATTTGGATTTTCTTAATTTTGTATTGGACTTTTAAAAATCAGTTGGCTTTAAATTTGGGCTCTCCAAGAAACTACATTTTTAAAGATATTTGATTATGCTTTGTTACTATTTCTTTTGTGTTTGCTTTTATGTGAAAAATTATAAAAGTACTAATTATCTTCTTTATATCCTTCTTGAAACTCCTGAAATTCTATATCCTCCAGAAATCTTTATCTAAGACTAATGTCGAAATGATTAAAAATCAGATTTTTCTTTTATCTTGATTAAAGTTTAGTATTTACTATATTTTATACCTAATAATTATATAAAAATAGCCATTCTAAGTAGAAAAAGGGGAGACAAAGGGCTGGAAATAATTGAGAATAAATTGATAGGTAGGTAGAGAATTAGGCTATTAGATAATCTTGATTGTAACAAACTCTTGTTACCCTTGTTCAACCACCAAACAACTAGACTAAAAAATATGAGGTAGATATTGCTGTTGTTTAGTCCTGTCTTCACTATATTTTGTAATTTTTAAACACCTAGTTGGAAAGGGAAACATAGCTGTTTAGTTGGTATTTTACCCAGAAAAGTACATTAAAAACACTTAGAAGATTTGGTGATGTTTTGTGTATGTTTCATATTGATTTTCCCAGCCCTGCTACATTAGGGAAAAGATCATTTCCCCCCTTAGTGGTCGCTGTGTTATATATTAGTAGGAGCTGATTTGTCTTATTTGGCTTAGAAAAAACTATCTAGACTTCTCTAGGGGCTATTCATAAATGTTGAAGTAAATGGCAATGAAGTACTTGCAGTTTTTAAAAAGATTGTAAAAGTTTTGATAGACATATTATGATAAAAAATAATGTGAAATAATTTAAAATTAAAACTTCATGAATAAAATATTACACTTGTTTATGCTAATGATTGTACAATAGGAAGCAACCTAACTTCCTGAAATAGGGAAACTTTATTTACATAGTAAATATAGATCAGCAAATATGTTAGGCACTTTGTATATGTTAAATCATTTAATATCTAAAATCAATGTATAAGCTAAATGCAGTAAGTGTAAGCTCAGGATGAAGTTAGATTCCTCGAGACCACATTGCTGATGGGCAGCTGTCACAAGATGGGAATGTTCTTTCCCCTAAGCTCTTTAGCAAAGAGAATCATTGCAAAGATTGGGGACTTAGGCAGCAATGTGACAATATCCCATTGATAAGTGAAAAATCTGGGTGTAGCATTGCACATCATGTTTCTGTTACAACTTAGTTTAAAAATATTTGAGTTAAAAGATCAGAGTAAAATATTCTGAAGATTTTTAGTGTTTGCATTGGACTGGTTGAATTCTCTACAGCATTTTCCCCTTTATTTTGTAAAACATCTGCAAGTTCAGTTAAGCTGCTTTCCAATCAAGTATCATTTAGGGTAGTGTCTGTAGTCAGTTTAGCTCATCCTTACTGCCTCTTTTTGTGCTTACTAAAAGATTTTTATAGTCATTTGAGCTTGTATTCTTTTTTTTTTCTTTTAAAATTCCAGATCATCAAGTTATTGGATGGAAAACGATCTCAAACCGTGGGAATCTTGATATCTAGTTTACATTTAGAAATGAAGGATATTCAGCAGGGTAAGTCTTTTCCATCATTTTTTTTACAACTTTTAGATTTTTAAAACATTTATCATAGAATTTTGAACATACACAAAATTAAAATGTCATAATGAATTTATGCATCCAATGCCCAGCTACATATCCATCACCTCACTTTTGTTTCTGTCTCCAGCACCCTCCCTACCACCAACTGGATTATTATGAGGCAAATCTCAGATATTTTATAATTCATCTACTAAAAATATTTGTACTAGCCATAAAAGATAAGGAGACTTTTTCAAAAATAAACATATGATGCCTTTCAAAAGAACAATAGCAGTTTCTTAGTGTCCTCACATCTGTGGTTGTAGTTTCCCTGGTTGTTCCTATACTCGTTAATTCACCCATTCATTTACAGTTATTTTGGATGAGGATCCAAACAGATGTTCTGCATTGCCATTGATGTGTCTCTCAAGTTTCTTTTAATCTGAAGTTTTCTCCTCCCCATCTTCTTTTTGTATTTTTTTCCTTTGTAATTCATTCATTGAAGACAGAAGGTTATTTGTCCTGTAGATATTTCCATTTTTTTTATTTTGCTGATTGCATTACTGTGCAATTAAGTTTCTGTGTCCAATGTGTTTTCTGTGTACTGCTAATTTGATCTAGATGCTTAATCTGAGTGGTGGAAGAATACTTCATAGATGCTATTGTATATTCCATCAAGAAGTACATAATATTGTCTATGACACTAGTAGGCACTGATGATCTTTGTTCAGATTGTTTCTTTAGAAGTCTGCAAAATAACAATGTACTAATTTAATCATCTCTTCCTCATTGGCTGAATACATCTGTAGAGAAATATTTTTATCAACCATGTGGTTACATCATTGTCTCTTAATCACTTTGTTGTTGGTGATAGTGTGGTTCTTTTCCCCTACTTGGTTATCTTTGGCTCAGTTTTAAATAAAAGACATTTATCAAAGAAAAAAATTAGTTTTGTGTACTTTTCTGGATTTCTAGAAAAGGGAATCAAAAGCCATCATACTTTTGAAAAATTTGTATCTTTCATTAGAACAATGTTCCCTTTTTTCAGTAATCAATTAAATGTAAATCTTAATTTTGGCATGGCACTTATAATGTTCTCTGAGTGGACTACAATCTCTAAGGTGGCTTCAGTAGAATTGAGCGTTGGTTTAACAGTGGGAACACTCTGAAGCTACCCCACCCTTCGGTTTTTCTTGGTGTTGCTCGGTCCTTTGTACCCTGCGACTCAGCCACTCCTGAAGGCCTAAACCAAGAGGCACTTGAGATCCTTTCACATGCTGCTTTTCCTTTTAAAGTAGCTTTCTCAGGGGCTTAAAATTTTGTTGTATTATAAAAGATTTAAAATTCCACAAAAGGCTAGAAATATGGATATCCAAAGTAAATGACAGTTGCAAGTATTTGGGTAAGTGAAATGTTTTTAACATTTAAGTTCAATAGTAGAACTGAATACATAAGTATGAATATTAAACCTTGGGAAACATTGTGGTAATTAGATTGATTTGACTTTGGGGCACTAGGATTCTTCGGTGACTTTAGAAGGATCTAAAGTTAGGTCTTCTAGGAGAAGTATTCAAATCAGGAGAATGTGATGCTAGGACAAAGAAAAAAAGGGAAGAAAGGAAAAAAATTCTGCAGGGGAGTTGGTAGACTTGTGATGGGAAAGTAACTCTCTGAGGCAGTCATTGCAATCAGAAAGGGATTTTGCAGATGTGGTGGGAGAGTCTTGTTGTGAACCACATGTCTCGCCAGATGTGCTTGGTTTCACCACCATGTGTAGCAATGTTGATATGAATTTTCATAATGGCAACATCACCATGGCCTTTATGCAGTTCCTATTGGCCATGTCCTGCTTCAGGATGACAGTTTGCCACATGAACAAGGGTCATTCTAGCCCCATGGTACTGTAGTTTACTGCTCAAGATCATAAACCTTCCCATGGAATTCCAGCCTCATTGGCTCAATATTCATTATAAGTTGAGTAAAAATTATTTCACCCAGACCTTTCCAAGATTCTACTTTGGGCAAGAACATGCCTTTGTGAAGCAAAAACCAACTTTTAATTCAGCATTGGAGATGCAAACTGGCATCACATAAGTCTAAGTAGTGCGAGCATGATTTTAGCTCTTCCGTCTGCCTCAGGCACCTATGTATCCACTGCAGAGTTGGCTCCTAAGTTCTAAAAAATAATCTCCATTCCATTTTTTCCTTTAGCAATGTATTCCAGATGAACTCTTGACTGACACTGGCACATGGAGGTCACTAAGAGTCTGGGCTTTGTCAGTTATATTTCATTGTGAATCCATGTCTGGTCATAAATGGAATGTGCTTGGCCTTGAGTTGTCATTCTGTTGAAGGCCTCCCTGTGCTGAGGTTGGCCTGAAACATTTACTTTTATGTGAGGGGAGATGTGATTGGAGGTGGCCAGCTGGCAGCCAGGCAGTCTCACAGTGTATCAGCCTTGGTGAAATGACCATACTTCAGAAGCCTCTGGTTTATTCCTAAGCCTTCTGGTCATATATTCATCTTTGTCAGGGCACAAAGACCAGAGGCATTAACTCACATTTTCCAAACTTACAAGAAGCTGATATATAAACCAGAACCCTAGTTTGTTCACTTAGGGAGGAGAATATTTCTTTGTTATGAGTAAAGTATCTTATCTGCTCAATGTTTTCTCCATCACTTGTCTCTGTGTGGCATTGTATCTCTTCCTGATGTTTTCCCCAAGAAAATGCAGTCTCCTTCACCCTATCCCACTGTGTGCATAGCACACAGTGAGTGTGTTTTGAATGGATGAGCAGAGGGATCAATGAGAAGAGACAGGAAGGCATGAGTAGAAAGGAACAGTTCTGATTCTTGGAAATGCCTGATTCTTATAAAAAGTATTATTCTGTTTGTAGGAGCAGAAGTACCTACGGGTATCCTGAAGAGCTTCAAGCATTCCAGTTTTCTAAATAACAATTTAGACATTTCAATCTTGTCTTGCTGGGATTACAGCTTTGTCTCCTTGATAAGAGTTTTAAGTATTTCAGTACAAAGGTACCTCCCACAAATAGATGAGATCGATAATCTGGCTTTTACTGGTCCAGGTCTTTTTTTTTTCCCTTCCACTTTTTTTATGGGCACATTATAAGTTGTACATAACAATGGTATTTGTTGTTACATATCATATATGCACATAATAAAACAATTTAGCCAATATCACTGTCCAGCACTTCCCCCTTCTCTTCCCACCTCCTGTCCCTTGAACTCTTTCCTCTACTGATCTCCTTTTGATTTTCATGAGATCTCCCCCTCTTTCTTTTCCTTTTTCTTCTCTAGGTTCTGCATATGAGAGAAACATACAACCCTGACCTTCTGAGTTTGACTTATTTTGCTTAACATAATGGTCTCTAGTTTTATTCATTTTCCTGAAAAACTGGACCAGTTCTTAAAGAGCAACCTGATTTTTCTTATTGGTATGGTGAGCACTACTCTGTGTGGTCCACTAGGGCGGTCTGTCTACAGTGTACATTCAGGAAGTGAAATTTTGCAAGCTCTTGTGGTTAATAAATAACAACCAGTTTTTGTACCTTTATGTTATGTTGTTTTTGCTTTCTAGGAAGTTCTCTGATTAAGTATTGCTTACAACTAATTGGTCTAATGCACCATGTATTAAAGCCATATATTCAGATGTTTGTTAAATTTAATTTGATTATTTTAATAGACTAAGCCTTAGTCTATGTAGAATCAGAAAGTCACATATTCCATTCTGGTGCATTTGGGTAAAACTAACTGCCTGTCTTTAACATGTTGAATGCCAGCTCTTGTCAGGCACCATGATTTCAACAACATTTAAAATTTTAATTATAACATTTTGGAGAGCTCACAATATGGTGGGAGGGATGTACGAGCAGCCAAGACTGCAGTAGAGTGGGCTATGAAATAACAGAAATATCTTTACTCTTCCTGTACAACTTTAGATGAGTCTTAGAGGATGAGTTGTTATACACAGAGACAGAGCTCTTCGCCTTGAGGAAAGAACAGGAAATAAGACTTGTAAAAGGGGACACAACTTACATGTACAGAATGCATAAGAATGTGGTTTGTTTCAGGGCTAAGGCTGGAAACACAAGCAGCATCCAAAACAGGAAGGGCCCAGAATGCCATCACATGATGTCTGGACCTTATTGCATCAGTGCCAGAGATAAGATCTTTAAGGGGAACAGTGCTGTCTGATTGTGAGTGCAGTGGTGTCTGGGACCGACCTTGAAGGCCCTGTGTGCTCTGTATCTCGTAACTTCTCTTTGCTCCTCTAGCCTTCCTGCTGACTGCACTTCTAGCTAGCCACAGTGATCATCTTTGATTCCTTGAAAAGGCCAAGTTCTTCCCTCCTTTTGTATCTTTAAATGCATAGCACATTGTCTCTATCTGGAATGCTTGGTAAAGTTAGCTTTTTTCTTTAATGTAGGTTTCAGCTTAAATGTCACCTCAAAAAGGCCTTCTCAGATCCTTGCTTCCTAATAGAACTCATCCTAAATTAATTCTCTCACTTTCTCCATACTTAATGTTGTATTCAAGTATCTGCTTATCTTCTTATTTACATCAACTACCAGAACAAGGTGGAGACTGCTTATTGATATGTCCCCAGCACCTTGCACTTGATTCTAGTATACAAGTGCTAATCTAAGTGCCTGTTGGATGAATAAACAAAAATGAAATTAAAGGAGGATAAGTCTGCTAGAAAGAGTTTGCAACTGTTCAGATGATAAGTGATAAAGGCCAGAACTAAGACTGCATCTATAGAAATGTATTGCAGAGAGCGATGAAGAAGAAATTCAGCCRGCACCCTTAGATTTTGGATTCAGCAAGAGTGTGCATAATGGTACCAAAACTTGAAAAGCAGAAATGTAGAGAAAAAGTAGTTTAATGACTGGAGACATGTCTGGGAGTAGGTGGACAAGGCTAGGTGAGACATAAAACAGACCTCAAAGAGGAACCTCTACCTGGTTCTCTCT